CAGTTTGGGGACCACACCAGGCTGTGCTCAGGGCTTACCTCTGGCTCGGTGCTCAGAGACCGTTCCTGGCAGGAATCAGGGGACCAGTGGCGTGCAAGGCAAGCACCTCGCTTGCTGTGCTATCTGTCTGGCCTCTAGCATGTGATTCTTACTTGCCTTCCCAAGAAGCCAGAAGCAGCTGTTGTAGCTGTTGGCTCTCTAGTGTTGGGGTAAATTTCCGTGCTGTGAAGATCAAAAGTGGGTCTCAGGTACAGTTTGACAACTGCCACATGGAGCCAACTGCCATGGTGACAAGCTAAGCCTGTGCCTAGCTTGGTGCTCGTGACCGATTTCATCTTCTCTGAACCTTCCAGACATTCCTGAGATGATGAGATGGGGCAAAAGGAAGTCGGGAGACTCCCCCTCTCTAGACTTCAGGCTCTTCTCTCCCCCACAGCACATGAGTCACCAGCCACGTAGGGCTGGGATGGAGACAGGCCTGCACGCAGAGTGTGTGTTCCACCCCTTCGAGCTATCACTCCAAGTCCCCGAAATTTATTTGAACACATGAATTAATCTTCTGAGGCTCTGGGCTGGACGCCAAACAAGGGCCTGCTGCCCAGTGCATCAGAGAGCCCAGTATTGTCACGCCAGCCTCTGCCAGCAGGGAAAGACCTTTGTTGCCTTCGGGGAGAGAGAAAAAAGCAGGAGCCAGACTCTAAGCCACCTCCCTGTCCCTTCGTGTCCCTTTGTGTCATTTATACAGGCAGAATGAGGTACTTGAAACAACTATCTTGTCTATTTCCTGAAAACACAAAACAGAACAAAACACAGGAGGTAGATTTTGAGCCCAACAGGATGGAGTTTTGAGAAAATAATGTTTCAGTATAAAAGAAATGGCAATAGGATGTTTTTGTTTGTTTGTTTTAAAATTCCTCCCCTCCCCTTCCCTTCATTGTTTTTGTGGCAACAGGGTTACACACACGCCTGGCACCCTTAGCTGTGGTGTACCTTTGGGCGTGGGCTTGCACACTAGGTCCCAGTTTCAGTTGGCCAGTGCTGTGGTGTCTGGGAGGCTTGGGCCACAGAAAGGTTTTGTTTCCTGTTCTGCCCAGCCTTGCCTTGGTTGCTTGAAGCCTAAATTAAGCAAGTTTGGGTTTGGGGTTCCGCCTGCTTCCGTCTGACCTCATTTCCATATATCTTTAGCAGTACTCTTCCCGGAGATGCTCAGGTCTGAATGGAAAGTCTTGAGTATGCCCTTAATAAGCAAGGGCATTAATTCTCTGTGATGCAGGGATTTGAACGAAAGTCATAGAAATGTTTCCTCGACCTCCATGCAGATGTCAGGACTTTGATGACGAGGACGAAGCTGTACTGCTGAGTTGTCAGAGGAGGGTGGTGTGGAGTTCGGTGGAGCGGGGGTTAGTAAGTTCCCGAATGATCAGAACGACAAGGTCACCAGAAACCCCCGCACCAAAATAGATGGGGAGGCCAGCAAAGCCCCTGCTCATGGCATACCTCTGAAGAGCTGGAAGGTGAACAAAATCTGACTGTGGAGCAAATCTTTCACCTCTCTTTTGGGTTTTCTTTATTTAAGTGCTTGCTCCTGGCTCTGCACTCCTGGGAGGACTCAAGAGACCATGTGGGATGCCAGAAATTGAACTCAGGTCGGCTGAGTGCAAGGCAAGTGCCCTACCTGCCAGACTGTTTCTAGCTCAGATCTTTCAGCTCTTTTCCAGGCAAGATTAGCAAACAAAGCCAGGAGCCCCCAGTGAGGGTTGGGGGAATGGTGGTACCCTTAGGAAGGATCCTGTCAAAGCAAAGGACAGGTTGAACTGGGAAGAAAGCACAGTGGGTAGCACACTTGTACACAACAATCCAGGTTCCATCCCTGGAATCCCATATAGTTCCCCAGGTACCATCAGGAGTGATTCCTGAGTGCAGAGCCAGTGACTCCTGAGCACTACTAAGTGTGCTCCCACCCCCCCCCCCAAAAGGCATCACAGGTTCCTGCTGGCTCTTGTACCTGCAACCATGAACTACTTCTGTCTGCTACAAGCCATTTCTCACTTTTAATGAAATCCTTCTCTTCAAATTATAATATGCCAGATCTTAGGGGATAAGTAATGATTGGTTTAAATGAAACATAGCAATATTCCCCTTTGCAGGTGATAATTATAGATCGAAGGATATATCATATTTATATATTCTGTGTAATTATAAACATAATTCAAATGTGGCTGAAACATGCCTTTGCAACAGCTTCCCTTTTTTGTTGTCTTTGGGGCTGACCCCAAGGGTATGTTCTACCACAGCAATATATCCAAGCATCTTACAGGTAGAATTCTTTTGTTTGTGTGTTTTCTCTGGGGCCACCCACAGTGGTGCTCAGGTGCTGGTTCCGTGTCAGTGCTTAGAGGGTCCTATAGTGCCAGGACTGCACTCAAAACTCCTGCAAACAAAACTTGCACTCTGGCTGCTACATCAGGTAGGGCGTTTGCCTTGCACGCAGCTGACCTGGGTTCGATCACTGACATTTGATATGGTTCCCTGAGCACTGCCAGGAGTAATTCCTGAGCATCACTGGGTGTGATCAAAAAAGGAAAAAAAAACTTGCACTGAGCCCTTTAAGCCATCACATCACCCTGGCCCCTATAACCATATTCTCTACAACATGATCTGATGCTATCTGCTGTCTACTGTTTCCTGACAACCTAAAATGCTACAAAATCCTTCAACATGACAATTTTTTTTCTAGGTTAAATGAGAATATTGGGTATGAAGAAATTTTTTTCCTTTTGGGTTTTTTGTTTTGTTTTGTTTTCTTGGTCCAATCTGGTGATGCTCAGAGGTTACTCCTGACTCTGCACTCAGGAATTACTCCTGGTGGTGCTCAGGGGACAATGTGGGACACTGGGGATTGAATCCAGGTTGGCTGCATGCAAGGCAAGCACCCTACCCATTATATTCTCTCTCCAGTTCCTCAAGAAAAATTCTGATGGTATTTAAAATCATTCCTTTTGTTCTTGCTTCCCAAAAATCTTCAACACTTTCAAAATGTGCAGGGAAGACCCAAAGGTCAGATGCTCACCCCAGGAACTCCAGAAGGTCTCCGGAGCTTCAGAGTTCCTGGGGATTAGTAAATTTACTCCCCAACTTTGTCCACCAGGAACTATCCAGGTGGTGTCCACCTGATTCCGGCAGAACTGCCTTTGCCTCTAAGAGGCTTCCTCCCTGGTTTCCCATCATACACTATGGTGGCCTGGCAAGGCAGAGTCAAGGCTGACAGCGACTTCAGATCAACTGGGAATGGAGAAGCCCCTGCAGCTCTGATACACTGAGTGAGGCACAGGCGGGCCAGCTCCCAGGCCCAGCTTCATCCTGTCCACTGAGAAGGAAGTCTTTGTAGACCCGCTCCCAGCATCAGTGCTCTTAGTGGCTTATTATTTATGTCCTACTGGTTTGGCTCTGGTTTTGGGGCCACAACGTGTGCTCAGGGACTGCTGCCAGCTTGGTGCTTAGAGGGACATGTGGTGGCCAGGCCTCCAGCAGGCAGAGCAGGTGCTCCTTGCTGCACGCCCTCTCCAGGCCTTGAGTTGTACCATTTCTTGATTTTGCTGAGGGATTGTGCCAGGGACTTTTGGCATGGAATGTGGCTTTTGCTTGTCTTGCTGTGACAGGCTAGGAAAAGGGATCCCTTTAAATTCTGACCACAGGATTTAATCTCTTGCCCTGACCACCCCTCTCCTCTATGTAACCCACTCAGGCAGGTAACTGAAATAGGACTTTTGTTTTGGGGTAGGGGGATGTACCCATGGTCAAACCCAGGGCCTCACGTATGCAAATGTAGCACTGTCACTGTCCTCCCATTGCAGGCACCAGTAATGTCTCCATTGTGAGACTTGTTGTTACTGTTTTTGGTACATCCAATACGTCACAGGTAGCTTGCTAGACTTTGCCGTGCAGGCGGGATACTCTCGGTAGCTTGCCGGGCTCAGGAAATTTGTTGGTTGGTTGGTTGGTTTGGGGGGGCCACCCCAGTGTTTCTTAGGCTCACTCCTGGCAGACTGGAGAGACCATATGGGGTGCCAAGGGATTTGAAATCTGCATGCAAGGCATATACCCTATCTGCTAACCTAACTCTCCAGTCCCAACCAGGAGTTTTGAATCCAGATAGTTCCTATTTTCTTCCCCAACTCACTCCATAGGCCCAGGCAGCACACTGAGTCTGGTCACCGTTGCACCCCCACTTGCCCCAGTAGCTGGAAGGTGATAAAGGCCTACCCAAAACCCAGCTGTGAGGTCTGAAGAGAAGGCAGTTCCCGCCCAGTGTTTGAGTTCCCTTGTCCCTAGGAAATAAAAACCAACTTTCAAAGTTGATCGTATAATTCTTTTTTGCTTCAAAAGCAAGAATCTGCTATTGGTGGGAGTTTTCTAATACCCGCCACCTGGAGCGGGAGATGTAGGTCAACAGGTCCTACATGCACAGGAAGGGAAAAACCCTGTATTGGGGCTGGAGCGACAGTACACAGGTAGGGCGTTTGCCTTGCACGTGGCCGGCCCAGGTTCGATCCCCAGCATCCCATATGATCCCCCAAGCACCACCTGAGTGCATGAACCAGGAGTAACCCCTGAGCATTAAAAAAAACACCTGTCTTATCTCCCCAGAGGTAGATGACAAAAAACACCAGAGAATGGACCATCACCCCCTATCCTCCAGCCGGGACTAGGGGCCTGACTCCCATCCTCAAGAATGCCAACATTCAAACTCTTTGTTTCCAGGAAACCCCGCATTATCTCCGTAATGGAACAGTCTCTTGCTCATGGGTGAGGTCCAGCATCCTAGGTCACCCCAGAGAAAACCTGGGGGCTAGCTTAGGGTCCACTCCAGGGCAAGTCAGTTTCCCCTCCAGAGAGACAGCTGGGGGCTGGACAGAGGACCCCAACTCCCCCAGCCCGTCCCTGCCAGAAAGCACACCCCACAGAGGAGTACAACCTTAGTTATATATCAGAGTATTTATTGCAGAGTGTTGGGCACAGTGCGGGTGTAGCGGAGACTCAATGCCGCCAAGTCCGGGAGAGCAGGAAACCCGTGCAGGGTCTGGGCACCACTGGGCAGAGGCGGAGTACACGGGGCAGCGGGGTGGACCCGCCCTCTAGAAGCCTGACTCCCCCATGCCCCAGCCCAACATGTGCTGGCTGCCGTCTGGGCCCCAGAGAAGGCCCCGAGGTCTTGCCCAGCAGTTCTGGGACCTGGCATCTCTGGCTGAAGGGCCTCAAGAGCAAACATGTCCAGGTGATCAGAAGTCACCCAGACTTGGAGGACACCGAAGCAAAGGTCTCCTCTCAAAGGCTCCAAGTTTATGGGCCTGTGCTCTGACAGGAGGTAAGTGTGGACAGAGAAGCCGGCCCAGCCCTGCCGACAGAGGCAGCCTGGGATGGGGTGTACCGTGAGGGGCACCATCCCCTACAGAACAGTGCTGGGCTCCCCAAGAGCCGGGCATCAAGCTTTCCATGCTTCCCCACTGGCCAGCGCTTGCCTGAAGCCACAGCCCCGCAGCCCCTCAGGCACCAGAGCCTGGGCTGTGGGAGGGCCTGCTCTAAGGCATTTTCAGCAGTTCCGGTGCAGATGAACCAGGACACTGGGCACACCCCCCACCTCCTGCTCGGGTTCAGGCCTTTCCCCCCATCCCTCAGGGCGAGACTGAGGACCAGGGGATAGGACCACCCAGCGTTCCCACCCAGGGTGCTTCCTGGGTGGCCTCAGGGAGTCTGGTGGGTGCAACTAAGCTGGGGTGCGAGACCTGTCCTCATGAGATTCACCGTGACAGCAGCCAGGAAGGGGAGCCCCAGTACTGTGATGGACGGACTTCGCAGTCTCCGAAGGCAGGAGCCTGGGGTTGGCTGACACGCATCACCAGCCCCAATGTGCTCAGCTCCTGGGAGGCAGGAGGCGGGGGGTTCCCACTCTCCTGTGGCCACAGCAGCTGCAGATGCTGAAAAGGCCTGGCCTCAGGCTCAGGTGCAGAGGACAGCAGGGCCCTGCAGGGGTCTCCCTGACCACCCCCCACAGCTCTGTCGCCCAGGGGGACAGTCTAGCAAGTGCTTTGTCTTCCACATTTTAGGGTCCTTCTTCTACACCGGCCGCAGTCTGTCACTGCCTATCCTTGTCTGTCGTGCGCTGTCACCGTTTGTCCCCGTCTGTTGGTCACTGTCCCTGTCTGTAGTCTGGCCACAGTTTTTCAGCAGGCTGAGCACCAGGTGTGACCCCACTGCTGACCATTGATAGAGAAGCAGGTGGTCTGAGGTGGTGTCCTGGGGGCCACTGGCCATGCCTGACTCAGAGGGTGTTCCTTCACGGTGATTGTCACATGGACGGGAAGGTCTGGTGTAAACTTGTCAACAGATGGACGCCGGCCCAGAGTGACGTGAGGCATGGTCACTGGTGGGCAGGGACCGTGACGAGCGCCTCCTCAGGAGGTCTTGAGATGTCCACATTCTGCATAAAGGGAAACAATGAGACCGGGATAAGGAGGGTGCATGCCCTGTTGGGGTTCAGCCTCGCCCCGTGAGTTCCTGCATGACCCCCCAGACCCTGACCTTCCTTAGGAGCTCAGGAGCAGGGCCTGGACAGAGGCCTGGCATGCAGGAGTCCCTGGGGTCAATCGCAGCACCGCCAGGGTCTGACAGCCCCCCCTAGCCTGAGCACAGGACTATGATCCCACAACATCGGGCACAGATGGCCAGGATAGCCCCAAGCCCACCAGCCCTTGGTGTGGCCCCTACTCAAAAAGGGAAAAAAGAGCTTGAAATCAAGAGATTCAGGGCATGGGGGGGGGGGGGAGGGAGGACACACAAGAACAAAGAACAAAGCTGAGGCAGGACACCTGTTCCCACTTGCTTGACACAGGCAGGCCAGGGTTAAACTGTCCCATCTTTTGCCTCAGGTCTACCAAGGAGGGACATGGGCTTGGGCGGACGCATCTTGGGCAGCTGCAGGCAGGATAGAGCGACAAGTGTCAGCATCTGGGGCCTCTCTCTCAGAGCTGCCCCAGGCACCCAACCCTTGCAGGCCTCAACAGACACCCACAAAGAGCTGGGCACAGTGGCCTGGGCAGCGCCGTGCGTGTGGGCCTGCCCAGTGGGCGGGGATGTCAGGAACCAGCACCAACAACCAGTTACTTGGGGCCCTGTATCATCCAGGCTCCCCTCAGCACAAAGGATGCCTATCGGGGGGGCTCAGGGTGGTAAAGTGGCACAGCTCCCACCTTACATGTGAAGCCCCAACTTCGATCCCCAGTACTACACGACATTACTGGTGCCTGCAATGGGAGGACACACACACACACACACACACACACACACACACACACACACGCACACACATGCACACACACACATACACTCAGAGGTCGTGCCCTTCCCAGTAGTGTCCAGGTGCCAGACAGGCCTGCTGGCAGGTCCTGGAGAGAGACAGCAACCTTGGGGGTAAGAGGACACAAAGCTGTCGCGAGCCTCAAAGGCAGGAGAGCAGTCCCAGTCTGCCCTGCCACGGGACCCAATACTGCAGGATGACAGGTGTCGGGACTCTGCAGACACAGCCTCAAAAGGCATCGGTGGCTTTCTGCATGGCCCTCGAGGGAGAGGAAACTTCACTTAGGCTCTAGGAATGGTTCCTAGCAACACTGAGCTTTCTGTTTTGTTTTTATTTGGGGGGGGGGGGGACAACTGATAGTACTCAGGGATCACTCTTGGTGATCCTCATGGGACCATTTGGGGTGCTGGGGCTTGCATGCAGATTGTCTGTATCAAGGCAAGCTTGTGTACTATCTCTCTGGTTCCAAGACCTGAAGGTTTTTTTGTTTTTTCATTGTTTTTTTTTTTTTTTTTTTTGCTTTTTGGGTCACACTCAGTGATGTTCAGGGGTTACTCCTGGCTCTGCACTCAGGAATTACTCCTAGTGGTGCTTGGGGGACCATATGGGATGTTGGGGATTGAACCCAGGTCAGCCGTGTGCAAAGCAAATGCCCTACCCGCTGTACTATCGCTCCGACCTCTGAGCGTTTTTTTTTTCCAGTTTTTTTGGGTCACACCTGACGACACTCAGGGGTTACTCCTGGCTCTGCACTCAGAAATTACACCTGGAGATGCTCAGGGGACCATATGGGATGCCAGGGATTGAACCTGGGTCAGTCACATGCAAGGCAAGTGCCCTCCCTGTGGTGTTATCACTCTGGTCCCAACACCTGAAGCTTTTAACTTAAACAGGCCCCTGTTTAACAGAGGGCCACCGTGGAACCTATTACTCTTCCATAGGAGAATTTTTCTGGGGCTGAGACAGCCCGTCAGCCTCAGCATGGCCCTCCAACACTGCATCACTTGGTTAAGATGGCCGGGTGGAAAAGGTGCTGAAGAGGCCAGGCAGGGTATGGAGGAGCCCACTTAGGCTCACTTACTCAACCCTCAACCTCCAGCCTCCTCAGACTGTGCAGGGCTGCAAGGGAGCCCTGGGGCCCCTCAAGTCCTGGGCCCTCCCCCTGCCATGTCCTGTGCTCCCCAGCTCCAGGGCAATCCCTCAGGAAGGTCCTCACAGGACGACACTCAGAGCCATGGCCTCGCCCTGAGCGAAGAATGGCCTGGACAAAGAGATCAGCCCCTTGGGGCTGGACACCTGGGGAGCAGCTGCCACCCTTGGCGGAGACCCCGTCGCTACCTGAGGCCTGTCCCGGTGTGTGTTCACGGCCGCCACGTTCAGGAATATGGACTCCACTTTACAACCTGCCGAGGGGAAGAGGCGGATTGTTCTCAGCCACAGGGCAGGGGGCTCCTTTCAGGGGGGCTGGGTGACGATGGAAGAAAACAGGGGTCCCACCCAAGGAGCTCTGGAGAGTCTTCTGACAAGGGACAGAGGTCCCGGTGTGGCCCGTGGCATCCTCTGCCCATGAGGCATCTACATGGCCAGGTAGGGCTGCCCCAAGAACCCAGCTGCCCGCTGATGGGCCCAGGGCCAGCTGAGGATCGCAGGCAGAGGGGACGAGGGTGGGAAAGTGGGCACCGGGGGGTGTCTTACCGTAGGCCACGGGAGTCAGCTTCAGGACTGTGTGTAGCGGGCACCTGAGGTAGGGGAGCTCTTCTGTGGACACAGATAGAGCAGGCTGGCATGCCCAGGGCTGCCCGGCAGACAGCCCCTCTCCCCCTCCCTCCCCTGGCCCCCCACCTCCCGGGGGCAGGCCCGCACCTGCCGCCTTGTCCAGGAAGTAGGCTAAGAGGCAGCGCATCACAGCCTGGTGGCAGACGACCAGCACGTTCTCTTGCCGCTCCAGCTCCATGATGACTGGCTCCAGCCGCTGCACCAGGTCCTCATAGGACTGCAAGGCAAGCGAAGGGCATCCCTCAGGGGGAGAGCTGGAGTTTGGGGGGCCCACTCCTTCGTGAACTCAGCCTCTGCCTGTGGAGCACATGGTTAGCTCAGAGCTGCGACAGGCAAAGGCCAGCCAAGAGAGAAGCTGGGCTGGGGAGGACTGGCAGCCTGGGAAAGGGGTCACCTGCCCCGTTCCGGGCGGCTGCCCAGGTGGGGCTGGGTACTAGGCGGTCACCCAAAGGAGCTCCTTTATGCCCACCCAGGAGCCCGTCCTAGAACCCTCAGGTGCTGGATTCACAGGCTAGCAACAACACAGGTGCGAAGACTTGGCTCCCTTCTGAAAGGCCGCAGCATAGCAGGCCGCAGGGTGCGGACAGAGGCCCCACAACTTCCCCAAGACCACACATAGGGCCCATAGTTGAGCCCCTGTGAGAGCGCTTCACCAGCCCAGACTCGGACCCCTGCCTCTTGCATCCCTGGATTTCCAACTAAGCAGCTCTTCAAAAAGAGAAGTTCTAGGCCAGAGCAATAGTACAGCAGGCAGGCACTTGCCTTGTATGCAGCCCACCCACATATGCCCCCCCCCCCAAGCTTGCCAGGAATGATCCCTGAGCACAGAGCCAGGAGTAAGCCCTGAGCATCACTGGGTGTGGCCTAAAAACCAAAAATAACAAAACAAAACCATCACAAATGTCTTGGTTTGATCCCTGGCACTGCAGATCTGATTTCTCCTGAGCATAGAGGCAGGGGGACTATCCCCTGAGCACTCCAGGGTGAGGTTAAAGATTCCCCTCAAAAGAAAAACAAACCAAAAAAAAAGAAAAAAGAAAAAGAAAAAGAATCCCAGAAAGTGGAACTGAATTCACCCAGGGCTGGGTTGGGAGTCACTGTGACATCAGCGAGGGGGCCCCGACAGTGCTGGGAAGCCCCGAGAGACCCTCTCTGGGAATGAATGTGCCTGCCAGTGCAGCCGGAGTTGGGGTCTGTGCAGCAGCTACTCTCTTTTGCTGTCTGTCTGTCTGTCTGTCTGTCTGTCTGTCTGTCTCTCTCTCTCTCTCTCTCTCTGCCACTCTCTGGGCTGCTCCTGAATCCAGGCACTTCCCTGAACTGAGGTGGCAGACGGTGAGTGTTGGGGGTGGGGGTGGGGCGGAACAGCACAGGATGTCCCTGTGTGTCCCTGGCTGTGTGCAGACGTGAATGCCCGTGGGGGGTATTCTCATATGGCCACAGCTCCAGGCCAGCTTCTGGCTCCCAGATGTGGGGACCCACATAAGTCAGAGGGGTCCCTCCTTCTGACCCAGGGCCTGGGCTGAGGAGGCGTCTGTCTGCAGGAAGGTGACACATGGAGGTGGCCCAGAGTGGTCACAATTCTCCGAAGGTCACTCTGGGTCTGGATTCAGGGTTGGGTATTCAGAGCTCTGGGGAAGACAGGAGCCAGAGGAACTCTGGGGAGCAGCGGTCCAATCCATTCCAGGGCTGCAACACAGTCCACCCCAAGGAAGGGCCTGCAGCCAGTCCACTGGGATGCACCCCAGGCTCACCTACCTCTAAGACCAGTGCCTCCCTGCTGCAGCCCACTCTGCCTCCACAGAACCTTTGGGCCCTCGGCTATGGGCAGGCCTCCCAGTGGACAGTGAGTAAGCACGACAAAGCCCCCAGCCCCACTTACCTCCCCCTTAGGGTACCGGTACCGGTATTTGTCCTGGTCCCGCAGGGCAAACTCCAGAGGGTAGTGGTCCTGAATCTCCTCGTAGGTCATTTCCTCACATACACCCTAAGGAGACAGCCGGATGTCATCAGGGCCTCAGCCCCTCCCAGCCTCCTGAGCCGCCCATCTGGGAAACACTGAATTGGTATGAGAAAAAGCTTCCCCACCTGCCCATAATTCCTCCCCTTATGCCCTAAAAACAAGACCAAGCATTCACAAATTATTACAGTGAAGCGCCTTGTTTTCCATGCTGTGGCAATACAACTTCTGCAGATTATTATACAAGCCCTAGAGCAAGTGTGTGGGTCATTACCCACCACAGACACGGAACATGGGTCACTTGGCACAAGTGCTATGAAATCTTTCTGGAAACAGCTGTACAGAATTCTGGTTGAGAGCACAACTGTTGCGTCAGGACAGAGCACATTCCTCCGGCATCATAAAATGAGCTGCGAGTAGCCTGAGGATCCCACAGAGGGAGCAGGGTTAGGGGCCACTGCTCAGTAACCTCTGGGGAACAACACCTCCTGTCACCCCCTCCTCTGTCCTGAGGCCATCCTGAAGCACCCAGGCCCCCAGAAAGCAACAATAAAAAGTCCCTTATTAGTTACCCCCTCTCCGAGCTTTATGCTACAATTTCTTTTCTTTTTAAAATTTTTTAAAAGATGTTTTTGTTTGGGGTCACATTGAGCAATATTCAGGGGTTACTCCTGGCTTTACACGAAGGAGTTACTCCTGCTGGGGCTCAGGGGTCAGCATATGGGATGCTGGAGATCACACCTGGATTGGCTGCATGCAAGGCAAATGCCCTACCAGGTGTACTATCGCTCCAGCCCACTGAGATTTTTGTTTTATTTTGTATTGTTTTGCTTTTTGGGTCACACCCAGTGATGCACAGGGGTTACTCCTGGCTCATGCACTCAGGAATTACTCCAGGTGGTCCTCGGGGGACCATGTGGGATGCTGGAAATCAAACCTGGGTTGGCCGTGTGCATAGCAAACACCCTACCCACTGTGCTACTGCTCCAGCCCCAAGCCCACTAAGATTTTTTCTAGATCCCGGCAAGCTACTGAGAGTATTCGATATGCCAGACACAGTAACAACAAAGTCTCCAATGGAGACGTTACTGGGCCCGCTCGAGCAAATCGATGATCGACGGGAGGGCCTTTACTTTACTTACTTACTTACTTAGTATCTTAGGGGAAAGTTGTCCATTATTGTACAGGAGCAAGCAGGGGCTGGAGAGATAGTACAGTAGAAAGGGTGCCTGCCTTGCACACAGATAACCCAGGTTTGGTCCCAAGACTCCCCCACCCCACCCACCAAATAAATAATAAATAAATATAAAGGAAAAGTAGGAGCCGGAACAATAGTAAAGCGGGTAATGTGCTTGCCTTGCATGTGTCTGACTTAGGTTCAATCCCCGACACTATATGGTCCCCCACGTCCTACCAGGAGTGATCCCTGAGTGCAGCTCATTCAATAAGTCCTGAGCATCATGAGGTGTGGCCCCCAAATAAAACAAGCAAACAAAAAGGTTGCCAGTCATCTATTCTGTATCCCAGTGGTCAGTGTGAAGCCTGGCCTCCCTGCCCAGGCTCTCTCACCCATTGATCACTGCTCCTTCTCTGTCTTGACTTCTAGGATCTCTATGTTTACAGAGCACCAACCAGGAGCCAAGCAGACAGATGTCCTGCCCTCAGGTGGATGCGATTCCTTGGCCCAGAACCTATCCCTGAGGCTGTAAACCTGAGGTCATCCTGGAGGCTTTTCTCCTTTTCACCCCGCACTATGTTCAGGCACTTCCCAGATCCCAGCCTCCAGCCCATGTCCACTTCCTGGCCCAGGACAGCTCACATCAATGCCAATGCACGATTAAGACATGGCCAGCATGGGGCCAGAATGATAGTACAGTGGGTAGGGCGCGGCTGACCCAGGTTTGATCTCTGGCATACCATATGGTCCTCTGAGCACTGCCAATAGTGATTCCTGAGTACAGAGCCAGGAGTAAGCCCTGAGCATCGCTGGGTGTGGCCCCAAAACAAACAACAACGAAGACACAGACTACCACACACTGATCCACCTGCTTCTCTCTCACTGCTACTGCCCCTGTTCTAGTACTGTCCAACAGGCCACTGCAGCCACCTCTGTTCTCCCTCCTCCAGCTTGCTCCCTACTTCCACCAACATCCTTTTTGTTTACTTTTCTTCTTTCTCTCTCTCTCTCTTCCTTCCTTCCTTCCTTCCTTCCTTCCTTCCTTCTTTCTTTTGGTGGGGCACACACTTGGCAGTGATCAGGGCTTACTCCTGGCTCTGCACTCAGAAATCACTTCTGATGGTGCTCAGAGGACCATATGGGATGCCGGAGATGAAACCCGGGTCGGCCGCATACAAGGCAAACACATTCCCCGCTGCACTATCTCTCTGGCCCCACAACATCCTTTCTATGCCAGTTGGGATAATCTCTCTAGTTCAGATTCAAATCTTGCATTTAGAGAGTTCCACTGCAGCTATTTCACATGAACCTTTCACAGAGAGAAACTAGAAATGCTGAACGAAAAAAAAAATTAAACTTGTTTGATATCATCACAGAGCTCTCCAGGCAGAAGGGGTGTGAGGGATGAGGGTTTGAGGGATGACATGATCTGGGAGCAAATGAAAATATAGAGTGAACCTACCTGCACTTGGCCACCAGACCCATGAAGAAGTGCTCACTCGCCATGATTATCAGGAAAATGCAAGACAAAGAGGTATCACCTCACCTTGTATGTAAGCAAGCCCTAGAGACTCTATCCATTGACTGGTTAAAGAAACTTTGGTACATCTACACAATGGAGTACTATGTAGCTGTTAGAAAAGATGAAGTCATGAAATTTACATACAAGTGGTACAATATGGAAAGTATCATGCTAAGCGAAATGAGTCAGAAAGAGAGGGATAGACATAGAAAGATTGCATTCATCTGGGGGATATAAAGTAACAAAGTATGAGATTAATACCCAAGAATAGCTGAGATCAGCACCAGGAGGATTACTCCATAACTTAGAGGCCAGCCAGGTATCCTAGAGGAAAGGGCAGTTCAGATAGAGAAGGGAGCACCAAATAAAGGATGTTTGGAGGATCCTCCCAGGAGGGGAGATGCATGTCGAAAGTAGACTATGGACTGAACATGTTTGCCACTCAATGCCTCTTTTGCAGACCACAACACCCAAAAGGAGAGAGAGAACACAGGGGATTGCCCTGCCACAGAGACAGGGGGGATGGGGGGATGGGGGTGGGAGGGATATTATCCATGGTGGTGGAAAATGGGCACTGGTGGAGGGATGGGTATCTGATCATTGTATAATTGAAACCAAAGCACAAAAAATTGTAAATTTACAACTGTAAAAAAAAATAAAATAAAATAAAGGGGAAAAAAAAAAAGAGACTCTATCCATTCACCACAAAGGTAATTTTCTTTTGCAAATGTATTTCTTACAACTGTCTACTCTCCCTGAGCTTTCCCTGCCTCTGGGTCTTAAAAAAGTTTCTTGCTCTGTGTTGATGTGGAACTAGGGCCAGTTACAGATGGAGGGAGAAGAGCAAAGATCTGGCCCTCTGACAAGCCCCCTGGAGCTTATCATGCCCAAGGACTCCTTGTACCCTTGCAGAAGGGCACACACAGGCCCTCTGAACAGAGCCCAGAGCTTATCAGATTCCTTCCTCCTACTGACCTACTGCCATGGTTTTCTGCTAAGGTTCATTCCCACCAGCCCCGTATAAACCACTTATCCAACCGTGAGAGCAAGAATACATTTGGGTACAAATCTGCCAACTTCTCGGTCAGCCAATCCCTGAATAAACCTGTGTTTCTCATGACAACTCTCTTTTCAAGTGGCACGCACCTGAACTTAAGTCCAATAACAGACTTTAGCAGCAAGAGCCAGGAGGAACTGAGGATCCCAGATGGCTCGGCCCTCCTGGTTCCCAACAGTTGGTGGGAGTAGATGGCTGCAGCTGCACACCACAGCTTCCCCAAGCATGTTACAGGTGCAGTGACAGACATCGGGCATGTGCCAGCCACTCATGGTTAGCTGACCCCATGGCGGAAACTTTGGGGGTTCCCCGCAACTGAAGACGCCATTTGTCTTAGGGACTCTCCCTTCCCTTCCCCTTGCAAGTGGCACCAATGTCCCAAGGGTTCCGCTGTCAGGGCTTTCATAATTTAATTCCTTATCCCTTGTGGTCCTCCATGTACCCCCAGGAGCAACTTCTGAATACAGAACAGGGAGTAACCCTTCAGCACCAGTGGATGTGGACCAATACACATTAAACTTATTTTCTACTGTATCACTGCAAGACCTAAGTATGTGCCAGACTCTTCTTTATTTGGTCTCTAAATTCCTGTTCAGTGTTACAATTAGAATAACTCTGGTCATTGCTCTTCTTCAATGTAGTTTTGGAAGTCCCTGGTACAGCCATCAGACAAGAAAAAGGTACCGAAGGGAGAGGGGCAGAGAGATAGTACAAAGGGAAGGGCACATGCCTTGCACATAGCCGATCCAGAGTCAACCCCAGCCTCCCATATGGTCCCCTGAGCACTGCCGAGAATAATTCCTGAGTGCAGAGCTAGGAGTAACCCCTGAGCATTGCCAGGTATAACTCCTACCCTCCCAAAAAAGCTTATGCATAGTAAAAGAAACTCAAGCTCTAATAAAAAGGCACCCTACTGAATGGAAGGAAATATTTGTACGCAATACTTCTGGTATTCAAAAGCAATAGCACACTCACTAAACCTACCAACAAAAGAGTCCAATAAATCCATCCATAAATGGGGTAAGGAGATAAACAGACACTTCATCAAAAAAGATATATGGATGGCCAACAGGCATATGAAAAACTGCTCGTTGTCACTCATAGAGAAAAGCAAATCAAAACAATAGTGAGATACTATCTCACACTCATAAGCGCACATATCAAAAAAGTCTAGAAATACTGTTGGTTGTGTGGTAAAAAATGAACCCTCCTCCACTGTGGGAACATCACGTAGTTCAGTCTCTATGAAATAAATATGGAGATCTCTCAAA